GCTTAAGCCTAAGAGTTTGAGGTTGCTGTGAGCTGTGACACCACAGAACTCTACCAAGGGCAACAAGGTGAGACTCTGTTGACCTCCTCCAAATTAATTAATTTATTATCAAAAGAAGTTCAAAGCACAGTAAATATATTCCTTTTTTTACTCTTCTTTTTGATCAACGTAATCTAAGTATGCTGCAAAAGTTTAACTATAGGTTCAAGTGTGCTGTGAGATAAAAAAAAGGTTGAAAAACATTTAAGCATGCCAGAAAGTTCTAGGAGAACCTAGCAGGTTCTTGGGCTCTTCCCCAGACACTCCCTCCTCCCTCACATTGGATGGCTGAGGCCTAACCCTGGAAATGTGGGATGAGTCAAGGGGAGCACAGCAAAACAGTGGGCCCAGACCCCCGCCCCCCACCGCCCCGACCATGGCCAGTCTACCTTGAGGACGTGGAGGTTGTACACATGGCAGTCTCTATTTATAAAGCCTGGATTGAGCCGGGGGAAAACCATCTAGTCAGCCAACAGGTTATGTGGTCAGAAAGGCAGGAGGGTGATTTCAAACACAATAAGGCTTTCCACATCTGGGGGCAAAGCCACTAAACTCAGCCCAGAGGAAGGCAGCGTTGTTCCTGGGTGCACAGATGCCTTCTCTAAAGAGTGTCCCTGCACCTGTTTCTGTCCAGCAGGCTGTCCTGTTCTGCAACCTTGCTGCTCTTGCCTATTTCTCCACTTCCTTGATTCTGAATGGCCCCTTGAACCAGTGGAACACAGTGGAAAGGATGCTGTCTCCATTCTGGGTATAGCTATTAACATGACCGTGGCAGCTCCAGCTTCCTGCCCCTCCGGGACTCCTGCTGGCCATGAGGAGGAGGGAGAGCCATAGGGAGAGCCTTGTGTGGGCGCTCCCAGAGGAGGGGCCCGCAGCTGCCGGATCGCCCATGGTCACATGAGGGCGCCATCACCTTGGGCTCCTGGCCCAGCCCAGGGACCACCAGAGAAAATGACATGCTGTGGTTTTAAGTCTCTAAACTTTTCTTTTTTTTTTCCCAGCGGGGGAGGGGTTTGTCTCTCAGATGATTGAAACAGTGAGATGACAGGGCAGAGGTGAGGGTCTTGTGAGGAAATCTGCTCTTTCGTGGCCATGAGACTTGGAAGTCTAGTTCATTGGAGTGTGGACATCCCCCACTTTGGGAGATCAGTTTCCATACATCCACCGGGCAGCAAGCAAAAGGATTTTTCTCAGCAGCCAAAACTCAGCATGAGCACCCTTTAGAGGTGCCCCTGAGCCTCAGTCTGCTTAGCGCCTTCCCTGCTCCAGCTCATGGCTCAGGGCCACCACAGTGTGGGCAGGGACCCAGCCCCGCCTGACCACAAAGCTCCAGCTCTCTGCAGCACCTGCCTTCTCATCCCCTATCTGCCCTCCTCTGGGACCAGCAGCTCTCTCACCCCCCATCCACTTCCACCTCTAGGCTTCGCAGCTGCTTGTCCTGGGTGACTAGTCCACCAGCTATCGTTTCCATCCCACAGTCTGCTTAAAAACCACCAGGTGTGTGCCACTCTCTGGCTCACCTCTGGGTGGCTGATGCCCACCTCTTAACTTCTGTGGTCAGTACTCCTGTTGCCTCCTGCCTGCGCTGTGCCGGAAATGGCAAGGGCACCTGTTTAGGGCCAGCCATTCAAGTGACTACCTGCCAATACCTGCTTTGTGGGGCCCACCTCAGGAGGCTCCACTGTGCCTAAGCTTCTGTTTAGGAGACCCTGGGTTCAGGCATGTCTGTGTCCCTGGGCCCAGGGGACATTGAGGGGCAGGGTTGGCTGGTAGGAGACTGATCCACCAAGGGGCACTGGGTTGTGTGATGCAATGAATCTTTACAACTGCTGGGATCGGGGCTGTTACCCCATGCCCAGAGGTACAAGCAGAGTCTCAGAAGTAAAAGTGGCTTGTTCAAGTCTACTTGGTTGGGAAGTGGCAGAGCTGAGCTTTGGGCTGAGGTCTGCTGGCCTATAGCCTTCCCTCTTCCTGGGGTGCCACCTGCCCTCAGCATGGTTAGTTTTGGATCTGGGACAGTGCCAGCCCCACTGTCCACAGCTTATCCACAGTGATAAGCCTGGGACCTGGACATCTGCCGAACACTCTCCATTTGTGCAGGGGATGGCCATGGGTGGAGGAGGGGCTGCCTCACAAACCTCTTTCTGTGATGAACTAGAGAGTGAGGACCAGGGGAAGCGGTAGCTGCATCTTAGTATTACAGAAAGCCACGTGGTGTGGGCGGGTGAGGGAGGTTTGCTTAGTTCTTACCTGGGGGCCAAAGTCTCCTGGTACACCCTATGAACAAAAAACAGGGAGATATATCACTGCTGCTTTCCTTATTTCTTCACGTTTCCCATGGAGTGGTTACCCAGTGCTCAGTGCTGCACATATATGGTCTGACTTAATTCTAACAAAAATAACATGCAACTCTATTTTTATCTCCAGTTCCAATGGGGAAGCTGAGATGTGGAGCAGCCATGTAATCCACCTCTAGCGGCTAGCGGACCCAGGGCTTGAAACCAGGTGTTTCTTCATCTGTGGCCAGCCCTCAAGCATCTGGGGGCACAGACAGCAGCCTCGTTCTCTCAGAGGGATGATAATGATGGATTGTTTCAGGGCAGTTCATCATGCAGCAATAGATTTCAAGACACTGGTTCCTCTCTGGCTACAAAGCCCATACTGAATCACATCTGTGCCTCAGTGGCATCAGTCAGATCCAGTGGGAAGTCACCAGAGGGTAATTACAACACCGACCTCTTATTATTGATGAACATTCGGACCATGACCTCATGCAACATCCCCCATGGCTCTGTGAAGTTGGTGTTAATTTACAGCTGGGGAAACTGAGACCCACAGAGCCAAACAACTTGTCCAAGGCAACTCTCCCCAGTTGGTGATGGGGTAAGAAGGCAAAGCTGCGGCCCTGAATACCAAATCCTGTGGCTTTCCACCGCATTGCTGATAGTGGGCTGGAACATTGCCCTGCTCTGGACCTAGGCTGCCACTTCACAACAGGTCCTCTGTTTGCAGTTCCCACTTCCCCATTGCCAAATTCTGGGTTGGGGGTGGATGTGGACCAGCCCTGGAAGTATACCTCAGTGTGTCCTGGCCACCCATTCCCCTGATCCCATAGTGGGACTCACAGGTCCCCTGTTCTCTTCCAAGGCACTTGGGGATCCCTACCCTCTAGGGGGACAGTGTATGAGTTTTAGTACCAAATGTCAGGCCTTTCTCACAGAGGCTGCAAAGATAACGCTTTGCCATCTATCTTCCTGACAGGTGTCCTCCTTGCAGACAATACCAGCAACAATCATCGTTTGATTCCCCAGGCCCTCCTGGTACCCCCTCTTCATGATTAATTACTTTGGAAACTCAACATTTTGGACAGACTGTGCCTTCGAGTTTTGTACCTTATGACCCAGTGCCAGGAGAACTCAGACTCAATCCTCAGCAGGTTAAATTGTGAAATGTAAGTCTGGTAACTGTTTTAAGAGATAGGCACTGTTGAGCAGTGCCTGTGGTTCAAGGAGTAGGGTGCCGGCCCCATATACTGAAGGTGGTGGGTTCAAACCCGGCCCTGGCCAAAAAAAAAAAAAAAAAAAAAAGAGAGAGATAGGCACTGCTAGCCCTGCTTTGTAGATGAGGAAACTGAGGCTCTAGGGGCTATGAGGTGCTGAAGGTCACACTCTGGAACTGAGTTTTGGAGGCAGGTTCTGGCATCCTTCATCAGCCCATCACACTTGGACAGCCTCCCGCATCACTCACCTTTTCCCCTTTAGGGCCTGGGAGTCCCTGGAGAAGGAAAATAGAGAAAGAACAGGCCTGAGTGAGGAGGCCTAAGTTAGCCCCCCCTCCCTTACGGCTCTGAGGGCAGGAGGGCCTGTGATGCTGAGCAGAGCTGTGGGGAGCTGAGTGGAAAACTGCACACAACTGTCAGCCCTTAACGAGAACTGCCCTTGCTGCCCCCAAGGAAATGCCACAGTTCAGTCCTCAGCATGTGTGAGGTGGGGGATTTGGGGTCACCAGCGGAGGCCTGCTGGCATTTTCTTAGCAAGGAAGGGGCACATGCATTTGTCAGTCCTCTCAGAGACCATAGTCTCTCTCTGGCCAGCACCTGCCTGTGCCTGCTGCTAGTGACGAGACCACTGCCCTAAGGTATCTGTCTAGAATCTGTAAGGCAGGCATTGGACAGAGATCCCATTTCCAGAAATGCCCTTTCATTTAAGGGAGGTAGCCTTTCAGAGTCTGAGCCCTATCCATTCAGAGTCATCCACCCATCCCCCACCCCCACCCATCATCCACCCATCTCTCTGTCTGTACGTCTGTTAATTCATTCACCCATCCACTCATGGCCCCACCCCTCCATCCACTTATTGATCAATTGATCCATTCATGCACTCACCCTCCATCCATCTACCCATCTACCTACCCACCCTCCCATCCATCCATCCATCCATCTATCCACATCCAATGATTCATTTAATTGTGCTCATGTCTCTCCATGCATTTCATTGATTTGCTGAGGATGCCTGTGGACTATAGGTTCCTGGCCCAGGTATTGAGAACTCAGCCCTATGCCCACCAATGGAAGGCTTGAAAATATATCCAGAGCCACTCTCTGCCTGGAGCCTGCTGGGAAGGGCTTGCAGGCTTTGAGGGCTGACCAGACACCAGGGAATATATTGCTCACAGTTCCCCATAACCCCATAACATCCTTGTGAGGGAGGGATTAATGCACCATTTCACAGACAAGAAGCCTCAGGCATGGAAGGTGGAGAGGCCTCTGCATGGGTGTCGGCAGGTGGAGGAGCTGGATTTGAACTCAAGTCTAGCACCCAAATGGCTTCTGTCTGTGATAAACCAGGTTCCCAGTGGCCCCTTCCCTCTGGTGTCCTGTGGTTATTCCCAGCCCCACAGAGGCATCCCCATTCCAAGACCACCTAGATTCTCCCTGTTATCACTTACAGGCTTGCCATCCAGACCCAGGGGTCCCTGGAAAGAAAGAGAGAGAGAAAAACGGTTATACATGGGACTGGCACTTCCTCTTGGTCTTACGACCCAGGTCAGCAACAAGAAAATAAAGCCTGTCCTGAGCCCAGGGGTCTGGGTACATTCCATGTAGACTGGGGCCAGGATGCGGGGAGGCATCTGATGCCCAGAATCCCCTCCTCTGACAACAGAGCCCCAGTTCTTCTTTAAAGACAACCTCGTCTCAACCCATGAGGTTTGGTGACTGCTGGGGTGGGCACATGACTGCTTTCCCTCTGCCAGGGTGCTGGCAGCTGGGACAAGCCTGGAATGCAAGCTGAGCTGTAAGTGCGTTGTTTGGGACTTCAAATGGTGGTGCTTTAGGGGAGAGAGGACTCTTTCTCCTGATGATGCTCAGCCTGCAACTCCCATGGCCACCATGTGGCTTGAGAAAAAGCCAATAGAGAGGAAGGCAGAGCTGAGAGACAGAGAGGAAGACAGGATTGAGGGCTGGAAGCCGCAGCTACTCCTGCATGCTTCAGTGCACAGACTAACACTTCTGGACTTCCCTTAAGCTAGCCTGAATTGAATTTCTGTCACTTGGAGCTGGAGTCTCGAAGGCTCTTTGAGCTTTCTGCATTGCTGTGGGCTTTTTGGAAAAAAGTAAAGGTTGAGAGAAGCCAAATCACACTAGGGCAGGATCTGAGAGCCAGAGCATCTCAGGGACCTCCAGGGCCTCCATGGAGTCTGCAGAGGGCCAGTGACCACTGTACTGCAGCCATGTGGGGGTTGAGAGGACTCTGACCTGCTCTCTGCCACCCCCACAATCCTCCCCCAACTCTCCCCTCATCTCCATATACACTTAACCCTGAGTCTAGCAATGCTGCACCAAGCTCCACATCTCCAGCCTTTGCATAAATTTCCCACCCACTATACACCCTCACCTCCTTTGTACATCTTCAGCTCAGTTATCTCCTCTTCCATGAAGCCCCCCAACTTCTCTACTTCCCAGCACCAGGCCATCTTTCCTTGTTCCCCCAACATGTAGTCTAACTGTTGTACATTACATTGAGGTATTGTTAACGTGTGGTCTACACAAGCCTTCCTTGGTAGAGTCAGGGAAGGGTCTGATCCTCTGTGCTTGAATGAGGCCTGGCCACGGGACATGTGCCTAGAAAATGCATGCTAAGTCACACCAGGGAAATACAGCAAGAAAGATAATGTGTGTGCAAATACATATAATTCCGCATGGAAAGGGGCAAGGTGGGACAAATAAAGAGTTCTGCCTGTTCAGAGCCATAGAGAGCATCCTGAGGGCTGGAATACTAGAGAGCTACTGAGAGACAGAAACATTTAGGGGGTTGGCTTTAACAAGACTGAGGGAGGAGGGCCCCTGCAGGAGGCTGAGGAGGAAGGGCAGCTCAGACTCCAGCATCTCTGACACCCTTCTCCCCACCCCCGCCTTGAACACTCCCACAGCCTTTGTTCAGGTTTGTCCCTGCCTGTCTGGGCTTTCACTGGCTGGGGACAGACTTCCTTGCCCACCATAGGTACTTTGTGGCTAGGTACAACTTCTGCCATTTGGTCACTCTGCATCCCTGCCACTCCCTGAGCTCTCTGGCTTCTTTCCCGTCTTCATGCCTTGGCTTGGGCTGTTCTCTCTGCATGGAATGCTCTCCCCTGCCATCTCTGCCTAGTGAGAGCTGACTCTTCCTCAGGGACAATCTCCTACTCTGGGAAGACTTTCCTGGTTTCCAGCAGAACTGGTCTCTCCTTCCCTAGCTCTGGATGTAGGTGGGAGTTGGCGACCTGCCTGCAGGGTCAGGAGATAAACTGCTGGTTTCCCTGGCTCAGCCTCCAGCCTGCCCCGAGTAGAGACAGCCAATCTGCCAATTCCCCAGATGACGTGAGAGCAGCCACTCTGTGGAGGGCTTGTGGCCAGGGCCTCGCTGGTGGCAGGAAACCAGGGCAGTCTCTCCCACACACTGCCCTGAAAGTTTGAGTATCAGGAAGCTAGGGTCCCAAGAGAGGGGGAGTGGGGTCATTCCAAAGTTCTGGGGGTTCAGGACCCAAAGACTCCTGGTAAAGATTTCCTGTCCTTACCTCCCCAGGGGCTGCCCAAACTCCCTGTCTCCTGCCAGCTCCTGGCTGTCCTGCTCCCTGGATCTTCATGCACAAGACCAGCTGCCCTTGGCAGTCCACCCACCACCCATGAGCTTTCATGGCCTCCTCAGGGCCACATCCTGCTGGGCGTCTCCACCCTGTACCCAACCCTGGGGCCAGCTCCATTCTGGGTCTCTTCTGGGAGCTCTTTGTGGCTCCTGTGCTCAGTCTTATTTTATTTTATTTTATTTTTTTAGAGACAGAGTCTCACTTTGTTGGCCTCGTTAGAGTGCTGTGGCATCATAGCTCACAGCAACCTCCAGCTCTTGGGTGTAGACGGTTCTCTTGCCTCAGCCTCCCGAGTAGCTGGGACTACAGGTGCCTGCCACAATGCCTGGCTATATTTTTTAATTTTTAAATGATTTTATTGTTGTTATTCTTTTTTGAGACAGAGTCTCACTGTTGCTCCAGGGTAGGATGCTGTGGTGTCATAGCTCATAGTGACCTCAAACGCCTGGGCTCAAACAAGCCTCTTGTTTCAGCCTCCCAAGTAGCTGGGACTACAGGGGTATGCCAACATGCCTGGCTAATTTTTCTGCTTTTAGTAGAGATAGGGGTCTCACTCTTGCTCAGAGTGGTCTCCAACACCTGAGCTCAGGAGATCTACCCACCTTGGTCTCCCAGAGTGTTAAGATTACAGGTGTGAGCCCCTGTGCCCAGCCCCACACTCAGTCTTAATCACAGGGCAACCGTGTAAGGTATGGAGTAGTGTCCTTGTCTGATAGAGGAGAAAACTGAGGCTGAGTGAGGGGGAGACCTTGTCCAGAGTCATGCTGCTAACGGCAAGGGCTGAAGCCCAAGCCTCAGGCTGTAGGTCTCCATCCTCTCTGCCCTCCAGCTCTCTGTGGAGGACTTGCCTGACTTCTAGTTCCTTCCTGCTCAAGACTATCCTTGAATGTCTTTGCAGAAGCCCCTCTGTCCCCACTGCCCACAGCCTCTGGGTGCCTCTTCCAGCATGGCAGTACCCATAGACCATGCGCCTAGGCCCTGATGCACCCTGGGGTCCTACTGAGCTGAGCCCAAACACAGGGCAAACCCCTCCCCATACATCTGCATGGATTAAAAAAAAATAATGCAAACCAGAGTAAAAAAGAGATTAAAGTACAGAAAGGTACAGATTAGAATGAAATAAAGCTCATCTTTCTTGACAAGCAGGAAGTTAGCAGACTGCCGATGGCAGGCCTTGGGGATATGGACTGTGAGGTCAGGGAAGCCAGGGGCTGGCAGGAGGAGATGGGTAGATCAAGTGAGCCTGCAGCTAAGCCACCTGGCATTATCCCCATGCCCTACTCTGGACTGACAGCGCAGTCCCTCCCACACACTGCCCTGAGGAACTTTCTAGAGTGCAAATGTGCACTGCTTTCCTGCTTAAGGCCCTCTGTGGAGCCTTACTCCTGAAGCATGAGGCCCACAGCCCTTGCGCCAGGCCTGGGCATGCCTCTCCCTGGGGCAAGTGTCCTGGTTCAGCCCTTTTCAGGCTGGTCCATTGCTGGACCTCAGGCCCAGTCCCAGGGACTTATGCAGGGGCTCAGGATGTTCCCCAGGGGAAATGTCTCTGTGCTGCAGCTATCTCTGCAAAGTGTCCCGATGGCTGGACCCCTGGTTACCCCCTTCTAACAGTGACTGTAGGCGTCCTGCCTTTTCAGGCCCTCTGCCAACTCCAAGAGTGTCCCTAGTGGGTCATGGATAGTACAGCCTTGGTCCCCAAGGCCTCTTTCTGATGTGTGAGAAACCTGATAAGTGACAGAAAACCAATTTTCCCACCAAGGGCTCTGCCTATATCTGGGATCACAGAGCTCTTGACTTTCAGGGATCAGAGTTTTAAGAAAGTAAAAGTTTATAGCTTCCAAAGAAAGGCAGAGGGTACAGCATGCCTGGTGCTTCTGGAAACACCCACATGGGGCTAAAGAAAAGTCAATTCCTGGGGAACCAGGGCCCAGAGCTGATGCTGAGCAGACAAAACTGTGTGTGAATATTGGCAGAGCAGACAGTGTGAGGCTTGGCCTGGGGATGGACCTGACCCACAGTCATGATGACTGGGGCAAGAATTGGGCAAGAAAGTGGTTCCTACACCCTCGAGTTCTCTGTCTGGGTAAGCGGCTGACACTCGGGGAGGCTGCTGAGTGGGGAGAGGTCACTGGGAACTACTGAAGAGGGGCCTACAGGTGGCAGAAGAGGGGACAGCCTGTAGTCAGATGGAACTGCCTGGCTTGGGGGCATGATGCTTTTTTTTTGAGAGACAGAGTCTCAGTCTTTTGCCTTGGGTAGAGTGCTATGGCATCACAGCTCACAGCAACTTCAAACTCTCAGGCTTAAGTGATCCTCTTGCCTCAGCTTCCCGAGTAGCTGGGACTACAGGCTCCTGCCATGACTCATGGCTAGTTTTTCTATTTTTTAGTAGAGAGGGGATCTTGCTCTTGCTCAGGGGTCTTGAACTCATGAGCTCAGGCCATCCACCGGCCTTAGCCTCCCAGAATTCTAGGATTACTGGCATAAGCCAGTTTATCTGGCCATGGGGTGTGATTCTAACCTCTGCTTCTGTCCTGGGGGAGGCTGGACTGCCCTCTGGGCTGGGGGCACTAGGCTATGAGCCTCCAGAGCAGGGGTCCTCAAACTTTTTAAACAGGGGGCCAGTTCACTGTCCCTCAGACTGTTGGAGGGCCGGACTGTGGGCCCTGGGACGAGTTGGCTGCTAAATAGGACAGGCAGCGGCGGCAAAAACACCGGCCTCAGCAGGCCGCATGTGGCCTATAGTTTGAGGATGCCTGCTCCAGAGGATGGACTCTGTCCACAGTTACCTACGTACTGCCTTTCTCAAATGGGTGCCACACAGCACACTGTCCAGCATGGTGTCAACATGC